GTGCATGTTTAATGTTCCACGACTGTAGTTTTGTAATGATGTTGTCCAACACTTTTCTACAGATGTGGCTTATTCTTATTGGTGTTGTTGTAGTCATCATTATTATTATTGTTGGTAAGTTGCATAGGAATTATTTTTTTTTTGCACTTTCTTAATTTGTTTATGATGTAGCTGCATCCAGAAAGTTATGTTGAAATATTCATTTAGCTTTGAGTATTCTGAACAGTAAAGGCCAATTATAGTTGTTGCCTTTTTTTAAAAAAAAAAAAAAATTAATATGAAATAATTGAATTGGATTCACTTGTGCATGAGAAAATATACAGCTTATGTACATAAGACTCATGCAGCCATTATAGAATCAGTAAACAGTGAAGTTACTAGTAATTATTTAATGATAAAACATGAGTATACACAGTGAATAAATGGTAGAATGATAATTATGTGATGCAATCATCAATCAAGCATTACAGTCACAAATTAAAGGCATATTATTAATGTAGGTTTACATCATGACTATTTATTGATTGAGGCAACAGTATGTGAAACACCTTGCATTCTTATGACAACAGTACTCTGCAACAACACAACAGGCACATCATGTCAACCAAATAAATAACCCAATACTGTCCTAACAGTCTAGTCTCAAAACTAATGCTGCTGCATCAGCCTAGCTGCAAATAAAACATAAACAAAAAGTCTTGCAATTGCTAGTTTCAATATTGCTATGATTCCGAGACTTTAAAATGAATGCACATTAGACAACGTGTTGAAAGCTGTTTAAGACAAATAGGCTGATACTGGTGGTGCGGTGGCTGAGTGTTAAAGCACTTGGCTTCCAAGTCGGGGGTCCTGGGTTCGAATCCTGGGATTTTTAATTTCAGGATCTTTGGGCACCTCTGAGTCAACCCAGTTGATCATTGTGCTGGTCACGTGACACCCTAGTTAACAGCGGGCCACAGAAACTGATGACCTTTACATCATCTGCTTTATAGATCACAAGGTCTGAAAGGGGAACTTTACTTCCCTGGTACAACTTCTACGCCCAACAAAAAAGTAAATGTAACAACATGTAATATTTTCCGATGTGCTTACTGGACCGAACCTAGGTGTGGACGATGCTTTGTAAACGTAATAAAACATATTATCTTAATTCCACTTAGAAAGATGTCTGCTCTGTTTTATGTTGAACATAGACTTGCGAGTCTCTAGTCTGTCTCTAGGAAAGCTTGTTTTACCCTTTGTGTGTTCTCAGTTATCTCAAAGAAGCCATGGCTTGAGTAGTAACAAAATCACTTCAGATATAAATTAATTTATGTACCGAACATTAATTATGCAAGTTGGATAAAATATATATATTATTTCTTTTGAAATTTAAAAGTCAATTATTTACTTAGTGACACATTAGTGTTGTGCCCTAATGTATAGTGTAGGATAACAGTAGATGTACTGAAACCTTTAGGAATTGGCCTTATAGAGTTCAGCTCCATCTTCATTTTATGAAGAAAAAAAAGAGGTCATTAACTGAACTCTGTAGGCAAATGTTTAATTGTAAAAGAACTTATAGAATCACTAAGTTTTTTTTTGTACATATTTTAAAATATGATACCATTGACAGTAGAAATGTTTTTAGAAGAAAAAAGAGTCGACTTGGGAATCAATTCTGTTACAAATATCTGTCATTTGTAGTTGATTATAGCATAGAAATCTGACAAACTGAGCACATTAGGTGTTGTTTTACTGTAGTGCTGCACCAAATATGTTTTAAGAAAGTTACACATAACTTGAAAGACAGTTACACATGACTTAAAGGCTAAAAAAACATGAGTTTCTAAAGATGAGATTGTTTGATTTCATTGATTGATAGTTTTGTTGAGTTATATGAGTTTAACTGAAACATTCACACAAAATTAACCTATAAAATGTTCAATTTTATTTCAACACCCCCACTAATATGTAGATCTATCTTGATAAATGTAGAAACCCAAGTTCTCATTGAAAATTTTGTTTTCATGTTCATCTTGGTATCTTGGTTTATATACATGTTTTTTAAAGTTTAATTCTGTGTTTCTTTTTAACCCCTCCCTTTATTGAATTTTCTTTATGCTGCTTACAAATGCTTACAGTGTGGGTGACACAAGGCTAAGGGTGATTAACACTTTTGTCACTTGACATGCTTGCTGTATAGATCTATGTGCTCATTGAGTTACATTAGCTTAATAGTTGGACTGAGTTGTTTTTAGTCTAAATTATGCACCACTTTTGCTAGATTATTTTGTTGGGGTTTATGATACGATAGCAAAATGTACATGTTTACATTTAATCAGGTTATTTCAATAAAGTGTTAGTCAAACAATTTTTTGTTCTCTTTCTTAAAGTTGCAATAATAGTAGATCTTTCTTTATTGTGACATCATATTTGACAGCATAGACTGGCTTTTAAGTCTGAAGTCATACAATTTGTTTTTTTTAAAAAAAAAAAAAAAAAAAACTGTTACCGGTACATTAAAATGTTAGTAAGTGTGGACCATATAGATAAGTTTTATGTAGTCAGAGATGAAACACATTCCCTTTTGGGGAGGGACTGTAAGGGCATTTCCTTCCAATGAAAGGAGGCTGCGGCTTCATGCTCATTTAATAGATGTAACTTGCAATAATTGTTTTATGTCTTTCTATTGGTTGCATGTACATTTAACTAAACGGTCATAATTATATTTCACACTGAATAATTATGATTTGTGAAAATATTTTTTTTTTAAAGACACTTATTGTTCTCTGAAAATAAATTAACCAATGAAATGAAAACATGAGAAAATGGCCTGCAAAATAGTAAATAGAATAGACCACGTTGGACCCACTTATGGTTTTTATTTATCTGAAATATAATTAAAAATATGTTTTTAAAAAGAGTCTAAGGGCTGATGTATTATATTACATAAACTTCAATATAGTCATTCAGTTTTTTGTTGTTTGACCCAGCTTTACAATTTGCCTCCTTAGTAACCTGCTGTACATCTTGGGATTTAATGTTCCAGCTTCTAGTAACCCCTTCTCAAAGTCATTCTTGAACCGCATGACCTAGTTTGTTCTTAAGTGTCAGTGATGACTACTTTAATCTGCTTTGGCATTTCCAACCATCCTCTTTTTTTTTTGTGTGTTCTCCCAGAATCTTTATATTCAGGATTAGTTGCACATTAATTTTTCACCTCTTAGATATTTTATAAAGCATTAAACGTGAAAAAAATAATTTGTCTGTATCTGTTTAAATTTGTAATATTGTCAGTAACTCAATCCTACAAGAACAAACTTTTTTTTTTTTGATGGTGTGGTGACAAAACTATTATGAAAATGTTCATTCAGGAATGTTAACAAATATAGTTTAATATAATCTACCCAAATTCAAATCATCATGTACTGTTACACAGGAATGTTAACAATCAAATCATCATGTACTGTTACACATCATAGACTATTCAGTATATTAATAATAAGAATGATATAGAAGTGGAGTGTTTTAAAAATACAAAATGAGATATAAATCTTAATGATTATTGTGAAACCTTATGGAATACATAACACCTTAACTGAATGCTTCTTAAGCATTTCCCTTATAGCTAATAATTTATGCCTTACTTTTATAATTTGATCATTGCCCTGCCTTACTTTTATAATTTGATCATTGCCCTGCCTTACTTTTATAATCTGATCATTCCCTGCCTTACTTTCATAATTTGATCATTGCCCTCTTCTATTCTCTTGACAGTGTGGGTAGTGACGAGCACTGGGGGAAGCAATGGTAGCCCAGGAGGCCAGACACCAACACCATTACCCCCTCACACTACACCCTAGATCTACATAGTCACAGCTGAGAACAAGACAGCTAAACTTAAGAAGAAACATTTATTAAAGACTTAGTTTACACCTACAAGAAGTTTTTTTTTTTTTTGAAGTTTTTGGATTCCTAGCATTTTTTGGACTTGTAAATACAGCAAGTCAGATATGTGGCATATGGTGATATAAGAACAAGTTGATTATTGCTTTCATTACTTCCAGGTATCTCCTCTTTTATTTGTCAACATGTGTATCTGCCACCATTCAAATTCAGAAATGTATTGGACATGAATTATGTGATTTAATCATTTTGTATTTATCAAAGTAATGTGTATACATTTTTTTTTTCATTTCACTTACATCATTATCATGTAAACAAAACTACACAAATATTTGAGAGAGAGAGAAATTTGTGACCTTTTTCTTTTTTAGTTAGGACTTATAACAAGTTGTTATAGTGATCAGAAAATAGAATATTCTGATATCTATCATGAATTACCAATTTGTTATCACATGTACATTGTGGTCAATGTTATGCCCACTGGTTTACTGAGGTGAAACAAGTTGCTGCTCCTTGGGAAATAACATTTTGTTTATGAGTGGATTAATTTTTTATCTTTCCACATAAAATACTTTAAAACAAATAGAATAAACATTTTACATTTGTAATGATTGTCACTAGTTTTTTTTTTATTTCTTAAGTTTACATTTTTTGGGAGGCTGGAAAGAAAAGTCTAGTTTGTACACTGGCTGCGACTGTTCTAATGTATATGAAATTGATTTGTTTCCCATTTGATGTACATTTAAACAGAAGTGGGTTCTGAAAGGGACACAAGATTGTTGTTTTAGATACATTGTGTGCCAGTTTGAGGTGATGTTACTTGCAGACTTAAGATCCGAGCTTCACTAATTCCCACCGCACTTTCGTAATCCTTCCCTAAACCGAACAGATTGATAAAATCCACAAGTGATGAAGTTTGTATTTATTTTATTTTGTAAAGAAGAAATAATCAATAAAGTCTACTAGTAGCCATGAATTTGTTTTATAAATATTTATATCCCTCATGTTTGCTTTTTACAATGTAAATAAAAGTGTACATTATCTTGTCATTTGATTTCCATTATTTTCTATGGATCTGTCTCTCCAACGCGTTCAATTTTTTTTTTTTTTTTTTAAATTTTTTTTTTTTTTTGGTTGTTAACTCTTACGTTGGAGGCATAATATTTTCTTCTTTAGTGGATTATTTGACATTGAATAACTTTTGAACACCAGATTTCAATTGATGTGAAGATTAAGCAAGGGCTTACATGAAGATTTTAGTTATTTGTAATTAGGAAATCAACAGTTGCAATTTTTTTTGTTTTGTTTCCTTAGTGACAAAGTTAAAGTTTTAAAACAGTTTGGTAGAGATACAGATCATTCATTGACTAGTCATGATTTACATTCCAGATCATGTCTTTGTTTCATTTGGTACACATCATGTTCCCCCCCCCCTTTTTTTTTTCCCTTCTTTTCATCCTACTAATTTGTGAAAGTCATCTACAAGTAAAGCTTTTTTTGTACTGTTGGCAAGAATATGTGTGCAATACATCATAAAGTGATCTTCCTTTTCCTGAAGATCTCAATAAGCTGGTTACATTGAACTCTTAAGCAACCCTCTGTTTAGTTCTACCCACTATACAATCTCATAACCTGATCTATTTCTATGATATAAACAAAAATCTAGCCTGGAGATATTTTTAGGTCTATTTCTAAATAACTGGCTGTTTCATAGAGGAAGGTTTTATAAAGTGAATATGTTAAAACTACTTAAAGTATTGTTTCATTTCTGATGGACTTTCTTTGTTAGTCCTTAAATAAGCAGAAACACATTAACTTTGTATGTCAGATTTCCTTCAGAAAGTTTGGTTATGAATGTTTGTTTTAATAATTGACTTGCTGCTTTTGTAATCAGGCATTTATTGGTTTCTTTTTTCATTTATTAGAGATAATTTCTAGTATTGGTGTGTTAAGAAATTTTGGTTAAGGTTGATTTTTTTTTTCCCTCTTAGAATTATGTATTTTTTCTGTGAATGATGAAATTGTGTTCTCTAGTTGTCTTGTCTCAATCCTTGTTTTTTTTAATTTTAAACCAGTCATCTGGGTTTTTATTTGTCTTTCAATATTGATTTGCTGTCCATGTAGTAAGCACTTGAACATTGTTTCCTTCTTACTAGACTGGGTTCTGTGTGAATACTACAGCTAGTGACTTCTTTTGTCTAGTTACAGTAGCCCTATATAGGCTATCTAGTTTTAACACATTGAAATGTTTTGTGGGGGCAGGGATGAATGCACCTTATCACTAGTGTTTTTTTTTTGTTTTGATACTTTCTCACTTTCATGTGATCATTTCAATTTCTCATGTTCATTTTATGGTTCTTTTTTGTGTTTCCAAATGGTTTTGATCAGATTTGTCATTTTCTCTGTTGTTTATTATTTGTGTATTTTGTCATTAATGTAAGAATAAATTAGTAGACTTAGCACTGGAGGGCTCTTGTTTTTATTTCTCTTCATTAATAAGATCAAAGAGCAAAACCTGGACTGTGGACTTCTAGGAAGAAAATAGCTCTTTCTATACATAACATTACATAGTTACTCTGCATTACTATTTTACTAAAATGAAATATCCATTTCATAAATTTTGAGTAATAGATGTAGACATTGAAAAAAAAAATATATATTGATTTTTTTTTTTAAGGCAGAGAATAACATGGACTGTAACCTGTGGACTTCTAGGAAGAACATAGATCTTTCTATACATAAAATTACAGATTTAACTTGGCATTACTTTTGTACTACAGTACCCATATATTGAAATATCAATTACATAAACTGTGTGTAATTTAGATGTAGATATTGAAAAAAAAAAGATCCAAGTATTTTTTTAAGCAAAAGGAAAAACAATGATGAAGCCACAGTTTTCTTAGTAAATGTACAACCCACTTCATGGAAGTTTAAGTTTCCAAATGTTAAAAACAAAATAAAGCATCTGAATGAAACTACATACCAAATGAAACATTCAAAATAATTAGAGAATTATCACCAATATTTAAAATACTTATCAATAACAACCTGGCCATATGAAATGTGCTTTGGGCTAACAACTCCCAAGTCCCACATTCAAACAACTTAATTGATAAATAAATTTTTTTCAGACACACTGCCATACTTTGATTTTGACTGAACATCTATGCAAGCAAGTCATTTATGGCACACTTAACTAATCTCGCCAGTAAATTATAAGAACACATTTTTGTATTGACATTTAAAAATAGGGTTTGTTTTTAATCCGCATCAACATGGCTTTAAGAAAGACTAACAATTCAACCAAAGATATTTCGATACATAGTTTTCCAGCATTTGATTATAAAACCTAATAAAGTCCACTTATAATGAAAATTGTGGATCACTAAACAAATGGAACCAGCACATGTCCTAAGAAATGTCTGTAATTAATAAGAATATGGGCCGATGCATCTTGAAATAATTATTGAAAGAAGCTTTTTAAATTAGAATAATACACAACTGAAATTAGAGTAAAATTCAGATGTACAAGTCAAGAAATAGTATACAAATTATTACATCTGCATCTGACCTTAGTCATGAGGTCAACAAAAGTATGTTATGCTATGAAGAAACACCATCAAAGGCTGCCTTTGTATATGCTTATTGACAAGTTAAATGTGGTCAAAATTCATAAAAATAAACCTAATTTTAAAAAAAAAGCTGTTTTCTGGCAATCTTCTTGTCATGTACAAAAAAAATGTTTTTTTTTTAGTTGTTCTATTCCATTAAATAAATAAATCGTGTTATCTTTCTTTAAAAAGCTACATAGCAAAAAATTTCTAATGAAATGACTTTTCATACAAATATAAATAGAATTTGATATGACTACCATGTAATTAAGTACCCGGTAAAAATAAAACATTCTAGTTTAAATTAATAATTAAAATTTAACAAAACTTTTTTGGGTTATGAATACATCTTCAGAATAAATTATGCTTGTAATGTACCAAGGGAACTATCAACTCAAATTAAGTCATCTATTTCTAACTTTCTATTTCTTTGGCTCAAAATCAGATGTAGGAATTGGGAAATAATTATAAATCTACTAATTATATGCTTGAAATCTACTTTCTAGTTCCTTTTAAATATCTTTGTAATTGCCATAAGACTTGAAGACTCAAGGAACTCCAGGTTTATGGAAGCTCCTCTCCATGGGCCTGTATCAGTCTGGGAGGGATCAAAACAGATGGAAATTTGTCACATCCCGATTACTGATGGCTAAATCACAAGATGCCTAGCTGGAGGTGAGGCTGGAGAATGAACACACCAAGAAAACTCCCTCACATTATTCTCATACCACATCAGCCATGAACATCTTGAATGTTTTCTCGCATGCAGCATTTTGAAGGGGGGTAACTCCAATTGTATTCATAGGAGCCCCTTAAAATATATTCTTTTTTACAAAGTTGACCTAATGTTAATAAATTATTGTGCAGTTCCTGCAGTTTAGAAGCCGACTGTTTGTGTGTAATTATATATGAGTTTAAACAGCCTCTAGACACATACTCTGTATCAAAGTTTTGATCATGGTGACGGTAGATTTTTAAAGGAGACAACCAAGTGCCAATGGAGACATCCTCGCTGAGGTAATGTTGAAACAATGGATGGTTGCTTGTTATGAAATAAACTAGGTCACTTGATAGAACATAACCCCCACCGCGTGCATAAGGCAAATATTTATCACACAATATCCAGTTTGTTTCTTTCCATTTACCGCTGACCTTAACATTGGCCCTTCCATCGAAAAATCCCCAATACAGTTTTTCTTTTGGTTTAATCTGAAGTTCTGACATTAAGTTAGACACTCTCACGTAGCTGTCATCATCCACTTTTAGCACATGTGTAAAATCAACATTATGATTTAACCATAGAAATGCTTTCAGAACTTTATTAGTCAATTCTTGATACGAATCAGACACATCATCTAATACAATCAAGTCCTTGAAGATAGATTCTTCCTTGTCAATCTTATCCTTTACTTGTGTGTCAAGAGAAGCTCCCCCTACAACAAATTTCGCTAAGATATTAAAGTCGTTAACATTTTTTAACCACGTGTTTCTGATTGTCTCTCTTACATGAAAATTATCAGGACTGGATATTATTAAAATAACAAGAGAAGCCTTTAAAGGTTTGTCATCAGGGGCTTGCCTGTTAACCAGTTCATGGTGGCTACTCTGTATAACTCTTTCAGTTCTGCACTGTGTGTTGTATGTAGATGAATACAACAAGATGCTCAGCGTAAAAAAAACACAGCAAATTAACACTGGGATATATCTACATTTGCAGCAATAACGCACAGAGAACTGCAGTCTTCTTAACATCCCCATTTTAGAGGATGAAAGCAATAATGTGAGAACTACCTGTGAAATAATTAGACATCAATTGTGAGTTGATAAAAAACATGGCATATCGACAGAAACAGACAAAATAATAATAATAATACTTGACACATCATCGATAAGTCTGAACGACAATCCAGAACGCAAACCTCACAACCAGGCAGCCATCCGTAGGCTCTAATACCAGTAGTCTAGACTGATCTAGATCTAGTGAGTAGATCTATATCTAATCTAGATCTTAATTCTTAGTCATCATAGACTTTAGTAAATCTAGTTTTATAATAGAATAGGACATAAGAATTAAAAGTTCTACTAATTCTAGATAGAATTAGACCTCCAAGTCATCTAAAGCATGATAACAGAATCTAATAGAAGAGTAAAATAGATCTAGATTTTAAAATTCTACATTGATCTGATAGATATTGAGTTTAAGAGTGATATCAGTGAATCGTGATATCCGGTTATACCCGAAACCGTAACTACTAAACTAGACTCTAATAGACTAATATAAATAAATTACCAAATTTCAGTAGATCTACTGATCTACTAGATCTAGATTTAGATCTATACTAAGACTAGTTAACTAAGTACTGTCTATATCTATAGTCTATAGTCTTATCTTATATAATACAGACGTTAATTTAAAAAAGAAGATGATTACATCCAATGCGTCATGCATTCAGTCATGCATATTAACCAATGACTTAAAATCTGCCAAGTCACTGGTTTTCCTGGCTAGCTCAGGCAACCCATTCCATGCTCTAATAGCACTAGGGAAGAAGGAGTATTTGTACAAATTTGTCCTAGCATATGGGATGAGGAATGTGCCTTTATCTTTATTTCTAAGACTTACAAGATAAAAAATTTTAGAAGCCAACCCCAATTAATTTGTGCAGGCTCCTTTTTCTGTTTTAAATACATGTTGAAAGTTAAAGAACTTCTTTGCTATCAGATATTCAACGGCTCGATTAAGTTCTACATTGATTGAACCACAACATTTACATATAATTACTAACTGTATCTTTCTACAAACCTTCCAAAAAAGACAACT